TGGAGATGATGACGATCCTGTGACGGACGATGATGATGACGCTTAGGGATGATGAATGTGAATCCTGACTTTCATCAGTTGATGCGCGCGAAGACCACACGACACTGATGATGAACATGCTGACGGATGATGATGATGATTCTCACTATGAAAATTGGGTTGATATGATGGATGATGCTGGTGCATTACGGTCGATGATGATGAGGAACGATGCGGCGATGATGATGGAGGCTCACGAAGGATGCTGGTGATGGATGAGGGGGATGGATGATGGAGGATCATGAAGGATGCTGATGATGGATGGTGACAGGTGATGATGATGGTGATGATGAGGATGACGATGATGCTGCGTGGGTTTGACGGCGATCATGATGACGGGCCCTGCCACGACAAGCATCGTCATAGCAGCTCTGCGTGCCGAGCGCGCAATTGAAACAGACGGAAGATAGAGGCAGGAGGATGGATCATGATGATGTTGGTCATGATGATGATGATGATGATGCGTGATGAAAGTGATGATGATGATGATGATCATCCATGCCACGACGACTGTCATCGTAGCATCCTCTGCACGCCGAGCGTTGCCTGACGGCGCAGTTGATGCGATGACCGCGACGATGATAACGATGACGGAAGATCACGCTGATGGTGATGATGATGACGCTGATGATCGCCATGGTGGTGATGATGGATGATGATGCACGTTGGTGATGAAATGATGAGGACGATGATGGATATTGATGAAGATGACGATGAGAATCACCATGATGATAGTGATGATGATGATGGTTGACCAACCTGGCGAGGATGATCTTGATGACGGGTGATGGATGATAATGATGATGGCTGACGACGAGGATGACGATCGTCCGTTCCATTCTAACAAAATCACGCCGAGTGCGCGTGTGTAAGAAATTTGGTAAGACGGCTACGGCGATGATGAAGATGCGACGACCGTGATGACGATGGGATGGATGCTGATGATGGATGATGACGACGACGACGATGATGAGGACGCTCACAATTCATAACGACGACGATGATCATGGTTGATGGATGCTGGCGACGATGGTTTCAGATGATCGATGATTTATGATGGATAATGAACAACGCGACGATCATGATGTTGCTGATGCTGGATGATGAGCGGTTGATGGATGATGATGATGATGATGATGATGATGATGATGATGATGATGATGATGATGATGATGATGATGATGATGATGATGATGAAGTGTACAACTAACAAGCCAATCTGATGTTTGAACTGTCAAATCCATAACAAGTCAATCTCATCCCTCTCACAAGCGAGTCTGATGCTCGCAAGTCAATCGAATGCCCCTCACAAGCCAATCTGATCCCTCTCACAAGCCAATCTGAAACCGACAAGCCAATCCAATCCTTTACAACTCATTTTGATGAATTTTCAAATCACAATCCAATCTGATGCGTTCCACAACCCGACTTGATGAGCAGACCCGGCACCTTTGCATGCGTAGGCACGCAGGTTGGCTATGTGTGTACGTAACGCAGAAACTGAGGTTGGCGCAGCACGCATTACTTTGCTCCAACCAACGGAATTGCACCATGCCAGGCTTACATTCCCTCCGCCCGTTTCACGCGCCATTTACGGTGAGGTCGAACACGCGTTGTTGGTAAATTTCCAGGCCCCGCACAAGATGCAGGACAAGGGACTGACACGCATTGTCAGTCCGCCTGCTTCTTTGGGCCTGCGCCTCTGAGCAACATCACGGAAGAAGAAGCTGAGCTTTTTGCTTGTTGGATTGCTTTGCTTATTCCTTGGCTTGTTCCCGCGTTTATTGGCTGAGGCAGGCAGGATTCTTATTACACAGAACACACAGCCGCGCAAGTTCACATGTTGAATATTAGAAAAAATGAGTTGCCTTCATGATTGGCCTGGAGTGCGGTGACTTTAATGCATGGAAATGGCACTTGGATTGAAATAGTGCAGCAAGGTCTCTGATATATGATTTATATATATATATACATATGTATGCATGTATGTAGTGTAATGTAACGTAACGTAATGTATGTATGTATGTATGTAATGTATGTATGTATGTATGTAATGTATGTATGTATGTATGTATGTAATGTAATGTAATGTAATGTAATGTATGTATGTATGTATGTATGTATGTATGTAATGTATGTATGTATGTATGTATGTATGTATGTATGTATGTATGTATGTATGTATGTATGTATGTATGTATGTATGTATGTATGTATGTATGTATGTATGTATGTATGTATGTATGTATGTATGTATGTATGTATGTATGTATGTATGTATGTATGTATGTATGTATGTAATGTATGTATGTATGTATGTATGTATGTATGTATGTATGTATGTATGTATGTATGTATGTATGTATGTATGTATGTATGTATGTATGTATGTATGTATGTATGTATGTATGTATGTATGTATGTAATGTATGTATGTATGTATGTATGTATGTATGTATGTATGTATGTATGTATGTATGTATGTATGTATGTATGTATGTATGTATGTATGTATGTATGTATGTATGTATGTATGTATGTATGTATGTATGTATGTATGTATGTATGTATGTAATGTATGTATGTATGTATGTATGTATGTATGTATGTATGTATGTATGTATGTATGTATGTATGTATGTATGTATGTATGTATGTATGTATGTATGTATGTATGTAATGTATGTATGTATGTATGTATGTATGTATGTATGTATGTATGTATGTATGTATGTATGTATGTATGTATGTATGTATGTATGTATGTATGTATGTATGTATGTATGTATGTATGTATGTATGTATGTATGTATGTATGTAATGTATGTATGTATGTATGTATGTATGTATGTATGTATGTATGTATGTATGTATGTATGTATGTATGTATGTATGTATGTATGTATGTATGTATGTATGTATGTATGTATGTATGTATGTATGTATGTATGTATGTATGTATGTATGTATGTATGTATGTATGTATGTATGTATGTATGTATGTATGTATATGTATGTATGTATGTATGTATGTATGTATGTATGTATGTATGTATGTATGTATGTATGTATGTATGTATGTATGTATGTATGTATGTATGTATGTATGTATGTATGTATGTAATGTATGTATGTAATGTAATGTAATGTAATGTATGTAATGTATGTATGTAATGTATGTATGTATGTATGTATGTATGTATGTATGTATGTATGTATGTATGTATGTATGTATGTATGTATGTATGTATGTATGTAATGTATGTATGTATGTATGTATGTATGTATGTATGTATGTATGTATGTATGTATGTATGTATGTATGTATGTATGTATGTATGTATGTATGTATGTATGTATGTATGTATGTATGTATGTATGTATGTATGTATGTATGTATGTATGTATGTATGTATGTATGTATGTATGTATGTATGTATGTATGTATGTATGTATGTATGTATGTATGTATGTATGTATGTATGTATGTATGTATGTATGTATGTATGTATGTATGTATGTATGTATGTATGTATGTATGTATGTATGTATGTATGTATGTATGTATGTATGTATGTATGTATGTATGTATGTATGTATGTATGTATGTATGTATGTATGTATGTATGTATGTATGTATGTATGTATGTATGTATGTATGTATGTATGTATGTATGTATGTATGTATGTATGTATGTATGTATGTATGTATGTATGTATGTATGTATGTATGTATGTATGTATGTATGTATGTATGTATGTATGTAATGTATGTATGTATGTATGTATGTAATGTATGTGTATGTATGTATGTATGTATGTATGTATGTATGTATGTATGTATGTATGTATGTATGTATGTAATGTATGTATGTAATGTAATGTATGTATGTATGTATGTAATGTAATGTAATGTATGTATGTATGTATGTATGTATGTATGTATGTATGTATGTATGTATGTATGTATGTATGTATGTATGTATGTATGTATGTATGTATGTATGTATGTATGTATATGTATGTATGTATGTATGTATGTATGTATGTATGTATGTATGTATGTATGTATGTATGTATGTATGTATGTATGTATGTATGTATGTATGTATGTATGTATGTATGTATGTATGTATGTATGTATGTATGTATGTATGTATGTATGCATGCATGCATGTATGTATGTATGTATGTATGTAATGTAATGTAATGTAATGTAATGTAATGTAATGTAATGTAATGTAATGTAATGTAATGTAATGTAATGTAATGTAATGTAATGTAATGCAATGCAATGCAATGCAATGTAATGTAATGTAATGTAATGTAATGTAATGTAATGTATGTATGTATGTATGTATGTATGTATGTATGTAATGTATGTAGGTATGTGATGTATGTAATGTATGTAATGTATGTATATCTGTACGTTTGTATGTATGTATGTATGTATGTACGCATGTATCTAGGTATGTAATGTAATGTAATGTAATGTGATGTGATGTGATGTAATGTAATGCAATGGGATATAATATAATGTAATGTAATGCAAAGCAATGTATGTATGTCTGACACATGCACATGCATGCAGTTGGAATGCTTTGATCCAATAGACAGATTAGGGGCTTATGGCGGACAGTCTAGGCCCCACAAGAGGACCCCAAACATGCTTTAGCCCTGTCTCAGAAATTCGGGGAAATGCTGAACAATGAGCTAATCTGGCGCTCCAGAAAGTTGTTTTTTTGGAATTCTTAAGATTCGGAGAACAGTTGCTTGCGAGAAGATAGCTGGTGACCCCTAAAAAGAGGCGGAGACAGAGGCGCAGCAGAGCCTTTCCAGCAAAACCATTGGGTTCTGCGAGAGTACCGACTCTACTTTTGTTTAGATCCTTTGGATGGTGCCTGTAAATTTTGGTTCAGGGATCAATCATACTAATCCAGAGGGTGCACACTGGACACTGCAGCTTTTTCAGCAGTGATTTTGGCGCACTGGATGCCGCAGAGCTTTTCCAGCAGTTATTTTGGATTCTTTATGTGGGGTGCTCAGGCTGAAGCGTTGGATTCTATTTGTTCGGGTTCCAAAAGATCTCAAACCCTAGGATTCGGGCTTTCTGCATTCCTGCTTCTGGGCACATGAAGAAGGTACCGACTCAGCGAAGTCCTTCTGAGGTTATGGAGAACGCGCTGGGCGCCGTGGGCGAGGCGGAACGTGTGGGTCCATTTCCAACGCAGCAACCTTTTTTGAACCAGAAAGGGTAGATCTGAAGAAGCCTGGAGTAACGGTAACCCCAAGAGGCTCATAAAGGTTGGCGTCGCTTTTTGTTTTGCCTCAAAAACAATCCACCAAAAGGGTAAAAAGGGTATTAATCCAAACTCCAAGCTGGGCTAATCCGAAAAAGGCGCCCATCGTCGCAGCTGTCGGACATGTTCACCGGGTTTCCGCGAGGCTCAGGCCTCGGCCGTACAGCACATGGCGATGCAGCAGCTGATGCCCGGCATGGGTTTGGCAAGCTGCGGGGTGCCGGTGATCTGCTGCGAGGCAGCGGGCGGCAATTTTATTTTTGTTTTTCCCTTGTTGCTCCTGGTTTTGAAGGAAACCCATCAGGAAGTTTGCCAGATGAGGGTCCCGATGCTAGGTTGGAACTCTAGTGTGGCCCAGTGCCGTGTTTTTGAGGCGAAGGTACCCTTTTTTGAGGTTGGTTTAAAGGGAAACCAAATGGAAAACTAATTTGGGTTGCGGAATCTTGACACCAAGTTGGAGCTCAGGTGGAGGAGGAAGAGGAGGACACGACCGCCACAGGTCGTTTCCTGAGGCTCTGCGTTCATCACGGCAAGAACTTGCCGAAAGTGGCGTGTTTCGCGGAGGTTGTCTTCGACCCTCGGCTCGCATGAAGGTTTATTCTGAATTGCCTGCCCCTTAAACGGAGAGACAAACCAATAGAAACTCAAAGGAAGTGCAACTTCAGTTCTATTGGTTTACAAGTTTGAGATTGCACCGCTTTAAGTCAATCATATCTTTGTTCCCCTATAAGGACATGTCAAGTTGTTCAGAGGGAACCCCCTGGCAGAAGGGTGGTTTTCCGTTTTGGTTGTTGAACCAACCCCAAAAGAGGGTACCTCCAAAAAGACAGACCCATAAATCCCATTGAGGGGTGACTTAAAGCATCACCTTGTTTGGCCAATTGGAAGTTTGTTCCCTTTTGGCAGGGTGATGGTTAGAGGGCAAATATGGGGTCCTAGGCTGGACTATTTCATGGTCTAGAAACTCATTTGGCTGGAATTGTCGTTGGCCTGGTGTTCTAATGAAAAGCACATTGCGAAGATGCACATTGCAACGAAGCATGGTATTTGGGTGCTTTCAGAGTTGGATTTCCAATGCAACATGTGTTTCTGTTGCAAGGCTGCCTTTTTCTAAAATGTTAGGAACGTCACCAACCCATCATACAGTGGCAGTGTAGTGTTGGTTTGGGTTGGACATGGGGGAGCACCAAGTCTTCCCACAAAAACCGGGGCACAGCCCCAATTTTCCCATATCCTGGCGGAGAAGAAAGCAAATCGACGGTGCTTCAACTGGTTGCTCGACCCGTTCGAAGACTCCCCAGGACACCGGCAAGGCCTCCGAGGTCCGTGAGCGCAGTGCGCCAGTGGGCGCCTGCTTCTGTCCCACCTGGGACCTGCAGGCGAGAAGCGGAACCCAGAGAGATCCTCTGGGTTTTGCATAGGAAATGAGGTTTTGCCAGCAAGCTTGGTGGCTTTTTGGTACTGGATCTTTGGACTTTAGCCAAATGTTTGGTTGACACTTTGTGGGATGAGATCTTTGGCTCTTTGGAGCTTTGGTAACGGATCTTTGGACTGAACAACTTTTTGGTTGAAACTTTGCGAAATGTCCGAATTGGACCCATAAGAAGTTGAACTTGCAGAGGGATCAACAGCAACCAAGACAGTACCCCCCTTTCTAGCATGGAACCCACCATCAAACGAGTTTTGCACGCTAGTGGACAGACCCCTTGACGCTGGGCTGGTGGGGGATGAGATCATAGGCTCCATGAATTCTTGGTTGGCATATGCCAGGGACGGGAGGGTCATGCTCAATTAGGAGAACCATCAGAAGGGTTCCTGTTGAAGAAACCATGACCATGACTGACCTTGGCACATGTGACCCTTTGAGCCAGTTGGACCGCGAATGGATTTCTTGGTTCTCTCACTGTTTCCGCCACTGTTTGAGCTTCAACTCATTTGGATCTTGCCCAACATAGAAAATGGTGGGTTTCCTTGGTTTTTCTCTTGAAGAACTGTCCTAAGCCTTGTCAGACTTAGCACAGGATTTTCATTCTTTTTTGCATTTTTCATGTGTCGTTTCAACCAGAACTGTCGTCACAAAATCTCCGGGGGCCAGAGCCGGGCCCAGAACTTGGGTGAGGTGGAGCACTCCCTGCGTCGCAAGCTGCCGAGTGTGGAGGTGCTGATCAAGACCAGCGGATGCATCCCGCGACAGGCGTGTGGGACATCTTGGGGATTTCTAAATGGTCTTCCTCTTGGCCTCCTGTGTCTCCCTTGAAACAATTTCCCAAAAGGCAGGTTCATCGACAAACACAGACACACACACACACACCCTTTTATTGGTATGAGTGTCTTTTGGAGCTCCCTACCAGCCTCCATCACTTCAGTTTTCAAGGGGGTTTCAACAAGCCCAAGATACTTTAAAGGTGCTGTCCAACAGGACAAGTACATCGTCGCGAAGTGCCAAACTCTGGCTGTTTGTGCAAGCTTGGGACTGGCAGAACAGGCGTGGCGGAAGAAGAAACGATTCAGATGATGTCATTCCACGATGCTTGTGCCTTTGGTGTGCTCTTTGCCGCAAAAGAGCCGACAATTCACAAGAACTTGGTTGAACGGTTAACCCTGGTAGCCAAAAGGCCTTTAAGAGGTCTGAACAGGTCTTGTCAAACAGGTTGGCCCAAAGGAAGGTGGTCTGTTACGTTTTGTTGGTTGCCGTCAAATCCGAGATCCGATCCTGTCAAGTGTGAGGGGAATAATATTATGAAACCAACAGCAAGACCAACCTCAACATAAAGGAAACAGACAATAGAAAGCTTGAAGACCCGCGTTCGGGTCAAGGTTCTCAAGAATGAAAAATACGGTCCTCAAGGTGATGAATAACATCTGCCAGGGGGAAATATTGAGAGTTGCGAAGATGTATCTCGGAGCCGGCAAGCCTGGGCCGGAAGCCGGGCGAAGCCGCCCCCCCGCCCTTGCACAGGTGGCCCACGGATGGCTGGTGCCGGTGGAAAACGGCAGCGAGGTGCAGGTGGTAGAGCTGGAGCTGGGAACTTCGACGGGCTTCTGTGAGGAGGAGGTCCAGCTCCTCGGGTGAAAGGTCTTGAGAATAGTGGGGTGAGGGCTGGCATAGGGCTGGTTTAAGTGGTTTAGGGCTGGTTTAGGCTCTGCCCCACCTCCTTTTCTTTTTTTTTGAGGTGAAGGTTCGAAGGGTACTCAAACCAGCTTTTGGTGGGTGTCAACCCTTGTCTCAGGTGTCCAAAGCGAATCGACTGGACATGACCTGGTTTTGCCCCATGTTGGCTTCCCGTTTTTTTAGTGCCTTTCAACTCAGGTTTGGCTGCCGATTTCAAGCCGTTTCCTTTTGATGTGTGACGTCAAGGGAACCCTCTCGATTTTGTAGGTGAATTGAAAGAGGGGATGCCCGATTTCAGGCTCAAGGAATTGCAGAAAACAGGAGCCACTTGCTCAAAACCCACGTCGATCATCCCGTTAGTAAGGGACAATCTGAACCACGGGGTGACACTCATCTCCAGCTTGGGATGCTGGGGATGCTTGGTTTGGGAGGGCCTTCTTTCTCGTGCCCAAACCACCCTAAGTCTTGGTTGCCCGACAGCTCTACTCTGCGATTTTGATGAAGATCCAGGTAGTCATGGGTGTGTGTCTTTTTTTGGGGAACCCCCCAATATTTTTTCCTTCCCTTTAAAGCCGCAAAAACAGGTACCCTCAAAAAAGACGTGCCACCCATGGGCTGTTCAAACACTGTTCCTAGTTTTGGCCTCCGGTTGAGATCGGTTCCTCTTGCAGTGGCTGAGTTGGGACTAGAGTCGAACAGTCATGGCATTTGGGTGACGGGTGCACGTTGCAGACATGTAAGACCCCCCAACGATCGTTACCCACTTTGAGTCCTTGCAACCAACCAAAGGGTTGGTCGAACCAAGATGAAGACTCATATGCGGTAGGTTGGAAACATCCCTGAAAAAACCCACCTTAAGCAGCGGGGTTTGCCTGGCAGAGCAGGTTGGTTGCTTAGAGCTATGTTTTCTTTTTCAAGTTTCAGAGTTCCGTTTTTGGTTGCAAATCAACTCCTGGTGTCTGCCCTGTAATCACAACAAATATATAAATGTTGGTTGGAGACGGATCCTGCAAATCTAAGCCTGCTTGCTCGGTTTCCCTGAATTGGGCGATGGAAACCTTACCCAGTTTGTTGCGACCCAGGAGTTGATTTGCAACCAAAAACGGAACTCTGAAACTTGAAAAAGAAAACATAGCTCTAAGCAACCAACCTGCTCTGCCAGGCAAACCCCGCTGCTTAAGGTGGGTTTTTGCAGGGATGTTTCCAACCTACCGCATATGAGTCTCCCTTCCTGGACCCCTCTCAATCTCATTGTCGGAATGTTCTGCAGGGACGAGGGACTAGTGCACAAAACAGTTCCATCCGTCGCTCAAGGTTTGCGCTGACATTTCAAGATTGAGATCTGGAGCGCGGAGTGCACATGAGTCCTCTATATAGTAAAAAGCTTGATTCTTTTTTCATCCATCCATTGACAGCAAGCTGATTGCCACAAGGTAGATGTAGACATCCAGAGGTGGTTTTCCCCAAATGAGCCAAGATCAAAACTCGGGCAGATGGAGGTGGGTGGGGTGCGGGGGAGGGTGAGTAGGGGCACTCTCTGCCAGAAATGGGTGTGGAGATGTGCCGTTTAGGGATTTCGGGAGAGATCTTCTCAGATCCAGGTTGATTTTGGCTCATGTGGGTATGTGTCGAAATTCGTTTACCCCCCAAATGAGTTGCGTGCTACCAAACCCAAAACAAGTACCCTCAAATAGACACACCCATGAGTACGATCAAAGCACCCATGCGTTGGCCCATGAGCTGGCAGTTCCTTCAGTGAACTTTATCAGTTGCACAACTGAGTTCACACAACAAAAGAAAAGCCTGGTCAACCAGATGGAGCAACTCACAAAGCACTTTTGTTTTTTTTTCCCCCGAGGAAGTGGGCGTGTGACTTTTTGGAGGGTACTTTCTTTGTTTGCGTTTAAAGAGAAGCCAAAAGGAAACCACCATGTTTCTTGCAGTTTCTCAGGGAATGAGAAATGGAACGACCCCGAGAAAGACCATCCAACCTTTGGTTTCCTTTCTTCGGAGCTCCCAAACACCGGTTCGTACCACCCGGACGCCATCGCAGCCTCTCCGAGGAAGGTGGTGGTGGCCTATCAGCTGGTGAACTCCGGTGACCTCAGGCTGGACCTGGCACGGGCGGCGGACCTGGGCACCGCTGGGGTGCAGCAGAGCAAGTTCCGGCTGCAGGCGGGTTGCGGCACCGTTTTTTTTTTTTTTTTTTTTTTTTTTTTTTTTTTTTCGTTTTGCTTGCTCACTTTGGCGTCACTTGGGGTTGGACCATTTTAGTGGTAAACAGAAAGTTTGGCGTTTTTGTTGGCCAGTCCACTCAGGCGAGGGAATGACCAAGTCGGAGTGAACCGGGTTTGGGGATGTCCGAAGCAAGGAAACTGTAGGTTGGATGGTCTTTCTCGGGGTTATTCCATTTCTCATTCCCCACTGAACCAGCTAGGTTCGGAAGGCCCGAAAAAGCGAGTTGGGTTCATTGCTGGCCCAGTTGCTGGGCGGCTCAGGAAACCAATACCGTTCTCACAAAGCCGCTTATGGGTCCTGGTCTCTAACCCAACCGGCTCATTTTTGGTGCTTCAGAGAAAGCCGGTTGGGACTTTTCTCCGAGTCCAAGCTTTCCAGGTGCCGCTTGTTTCTCCCGGAAAGAACTTGGGACCCGTGAGGTGTGATCTGGTGTGATCCGGTCGGCTGGTAAGCCATCCCTACCGGAAATGGCAAGCCAGCATGAAGCCACCCACTGAAAGTGGCCCTCACTTTTTTCTTCTTTCTTTTTCTTCTTCTTCTTCTTCTTTTCTTCTTTTTTTTTTTTAATTTTATTTTTTATTTTTATTTCTTTCTTTGTTCTGTTTACGAACTGACGAGAATGCTCTTCATGAAGTCTACGGAATAAATAACAGAGTGAAGGGTTCTACTCCTTGTTTTTCATAAAGCATCGTCATGGCCTATGTCCAGGAAGAACCATGTTCAACCCTTTTTTAGAACAAAGCCTCCATATTTCTGAGAGTCCAGCACACCTAGGCTCCGCGCTAATACAGCGTCAAAGTGCTCATTTCTTTCAGGTTGTCAGACTTTCTCGCGCTGGGGCAATCTGCTGGGTCGTTTTTCCCATTCGCATGGTCCCCTGAGAGGTGTGGGGCAGGCAGCTGAGGCCACTGAAAGAGGGTGTGTTTGATTCCCGTTGCCGGCTTCTTGGCTTGCTTTAAGACTAGATTTCAGCAAACCGCCAAACTTGAGGGTTGCTGTACGTTTCGAGGCAAGCCCATTTAGGTATGATTTTTACCTGGGGACCCTTTGGAGGACATGGTGATTTGTTTCCAGCCCCTTTTCAGGGTGTTCCCTTTTCCCTGTTACAATTCATTGCCACGCTGGTTTGTTTGCCTATTTCGAGCCCCAAAACATTATGTCTAGCTGTGTTTTTTTGCAGGTACTGTTTCTGATCGGCCACGTGCTTCCCTGTTTAAACCCGATATTTGTTTAGGGCGTCTTTTTTGAGGGTACGCTTTCCCGGTTTACCTAAAGAAAAAGCAAATACCAAGTTCTCTTGATTCGTTGACTCTTTGTTGAGGCGCTGGTGCGGGGCGTCCAGTTCAAGCACAGTCTGAATGCTGGCGAGGAGGTTCGCCTGAGGCTGGGTGTTCCCCGCTCAGACCCAAGTTGTTTCCTGTCCTTCTGGTTTCCCTTCACAGCCAACACAGTTCTTTTGTTTTCTCAACCACAAATCAACATCCCAGCCCCTCCTAGTTGTTTTTTTCAATCTACAACTTTTTTGGATCTACCACTTCTTTTTTTAAGAGACAAAAACAAACAACAACCCAACTGCTCCCAGCAAATTCGCATAGGGTCTACACCATGCACAGCTCTGGGCTCACGGAGGACAAAGAGATCAGACGGTCCGTGGACGCCGAGGCAGGTCGGAGATCTCGGGCCCTGGAATTCCTTGCCGATTCCCAGCAAAATAATGGCCCCCCCCTCAACAAAAAACACACACTTGGAACTTTCTAGGGGTTGATTCCCCATTCTTTTCAACCATCGTTCTTTTCAAAAGCCAGCTGTTTTCTCAGGGTTTTTGGTTGTTTTCTACAAACAAACAATCCCTGGAAAGAACCTTCTAGTGCTACCTTCCATTTCCACTCTTTCCAGGGATCCTTCTTTCTAGAACACCTCCGGTTTCCCCAGGCAAACAGCCGGTCTTCGAAAAGAACGATGGTTGGAAAGAATGGATGGAATCAACCCTTAGAAACTTAGATGATGAGCTACTCCTGAAAGGAAAATAGTGGTGGTTCTATGATACCCCATGGTTTTAAGGGTGGTTTTTAAAGGCCGGGTCAGCCTTTTTTATTTGTATTTTTATTTTTTGCTCGCCGAGTTTTCTTTTCCAAGGTGCGCACATAGAGGACCAACCCCCAGGGCCCAACCATTGTTTTGATGATTTTGAATTCCAGCGACTCGAGAGTTGTTCTTGTGGTCTTCTCTCTTGTTCAGGAGGGACCCTTTACCATGCACTGGGTGTTTCGACTGGCTGCGAGGTTCTCTCATAGGGGACTCCAAACGCGTTCTCACGAACGGGATTCAGCCTTCACATTGACAATGAGTGTAGCGCCCAGCGAGCCCACTTGCTAGAGCACCGGATATTACTTTGGACGAAAAGGCGACGCTTAAATCCGGGTTGATTCATATTCCAAGACTCTACTCCGGCGGCTCAACCCTGGCAGGCGAAGAGCGTCAAGAAGTTTGAGTTCGGCGACTCCGCAAAAGGCGACTCGTCCAGCAGTGTGTCCTTGCGGGTATGACACTTGATGGGTCGCTCATGGACTTTTTGTACCCTCCCATCCCTGGTTTTCTTCCGAAGGCTTTTGGAGGGAACACCCCCCCTATTAATAAACCTAGCGGGCGCTCCCCCAGCGATGTGATTTTAAGCTGCCACTTTTGGCGGGGTGTCCATTTCTGGGTTTAGTGGGGAATCAGCCCACTTTTGGAGGGGCCAACAACTACCCCCCGAATTTAATGAAGAGGTTGGTTGATTTTCAGTTCGGACAACCTGACCGACCCGCATCTGCAAAATGTCAGGGGACGAGGAGATGCTGTGGGAGTTGGTGGCCAGCGAGGTGAGCCTCGGCCGCTACGACCTGGTGGTGGAGGCGTATTTGCGACCCGAGGGCACTGAGGCGGAGGTGGTTGGAGTCTGGTCGGAGCCCTTGAACCAGCGCCCGTGGCCAAATTGGGCGGGTTGGCTTGCCCAAAGAGACAATTGTGGAAAACCCATGAAATATCATGGTGATTAACGAGCACTTTCAATACAGTGATTGAGCGATGTATTTCAGGCTTTTGGAGTCCACATGCTAGAAAAAAGCCCGACGTCAATCCCCTATCTGAAGTTTATGACAAACGCAACATTCAAAATTACTTGTGCTTCTTCCAGGCATGCAGTCAGTCAGTCGGTCGGTTTGTCGGTCAGTCAGACAAGTAGACCAGAGAAACTCTCCAAATCAGAGCCAAGCGAAGTGAAGCCGGTGATGCTGGGAACGTCGAGGTGATGCTGGGGATGCTGCAAGCCCCAAGGAGAACCAGACATAGCAAAAAAAGCAGACTTAGCAACAAAGTTTCTGCTATTATTGGTAGTCAGTTTTTGAAAACAATACTATTGTCTGGTGTTGTGGGAAGCACTCGGATATTGCCTAGGGCGCAGATTGAGGTTTTTGACTTAGTCCGTTTCCTTGCAGGTCCATTTGTTTGCTTTCCTCCGGTTTGTGGTGCTTTTTTCTTGGATGTCCCATTTGTGAGTGGCTGCCTTTGCAGACTACTTTGTTTATGTTTGCCTTTGTAATCATGGAGCAGTTTGGAAGACGCAAGGTTCGTTTTTCTACCTTCCTTTCCCCGCTTGGCATTGAGCCAAGCATACGGATTCAGGGGAGCAAGTCGTGCTAGCTGCATTGATCCGGTCCTTTCTTCCGGGGTGAACAATGCCGTGAATGACCTTTGGCTTGATATATACACCTTGACCAGGCTGAACCAACGCGATCGCCCAATGTCGTGGCTGCTTGCTCAACCTCCTTTTGGGGAAAGGAACCTTTTTGAGTTCCTTCCGACAATCTGCAGGGGAGAAACCGCACCGAGGCTGTATGACACCATCCAGAGCAGGCAGCGGGGTTGGCTCGCAATTTGGTTTGCAAGGTAAACCAAGAAGAGGTTTCAATAAGAGTGGTTCAGCATGCATGGCCCAGGGATTTTTGTTGGAGGGTGCCTGCTGAACCGATTTTTCTGGGCGTTGGGAAGAAAGTACCGGAGCTTTTTGAAGCTCGAAGTCTGGATCAGATCTTTTTCTTTCGATAGCTCGCTCCCAAGGCCCATTTTTGGACCCCAGACCCCGGGTCCCCTTGAAAGGTATGAGCAATTCGCACTAGAAAAGACCGGTGGATCGATCCTGGAATGAACAGCGGCAAAAAAGAAAACAAGTGGATCCAGCAACCGGCAAAACCAAGATCCAGTGGTAACACGTCGATCCAGGCAGCTGAAGTTGCTCTTCCGCGCGCATCTCCGGAAGGGCCTGCGGCACACGGGCTACTTGGAGCTGATGCTGGACCTCCACCGCGTCTCCGATGCGCCCCACCAGACCCCGCTGATCGCGCAGAACCGGAAGGCCGTGCTCCAGGCGAGCCACGTCTTTCGGTCGTTTTGGGGTCGTTTGGGGTCGCTCGGAAATGTTTAGGGCCAAGGGGAGAGCGCAAAAGACGAGCAAAGCTCGAAATTGGATGTTTTCATTGAACAAGGGCGGAGTTGATCGATGTTTCCTTCCGAATATGCAGGGGATCCCAGGGCGGATACCCTTGTGTGATGGCGGTGGGCGGAAGAGTGGCCGATCTAGGAATCCCAATTGTCCACTGCCTTGGGCAGATGGTACATGTTTGAGAGGTGAACAAAACCTCAAGAGGCGCCCACACGCTCCTCATGGAGCTGGGCATGGCTGACATGTGTTCTGATTGCAGTGCCACGGCAAGCTAAGTTTCTGAGCCCTCCAACCATGACTCAAATACAGAGATGGCGCTGGGGAGCAAAGCTGACTGATGCTCATTCAACCACGGATACCACATTTGCGAAAGCGAAAGAGCAGAGGAAGTACCCACAAACCAATCGACATTGCCACTACAGCTCAAGCACAAATTCTGAGGAAGGTCGAAGCTGGTTTGCAGAAGTCTCCAGGCGCTTTCCCTTGGAACCCCATCCGACAGGGGGATTTTTTTTTGTTTGTTTTTATGTAAATAAAAACAAATTAATCAGAATGCGATTTGAGCGGGGCCAGGCGCGCAAGGGCCGGCGAGAGGAAGGAGACGAGCAGTTCTACGTGCACGTGGCGGCACTTGGGCTACAGGCCCGGACATGAGGGGCTTTGGACATGAGCCATGGGGCAAACTGGCCATGGGTTGCATAACCTATGGCGAGCCATTTTGGGGTGTATGAACATCCATCTGCCACCTATTTTCATGTTCACCAGGGGTCTGCTGGGTTTTGACCCACTGCCAAATTTTGCTGGCAGTCTATTGTTGTATCCATCCCAAGGGCAAGCGGTGCAAGCCACCAAAAAGCAGTGAAGGGGAGTTTCTTTTGACACCTCTGTCGCGCGTGATCCAAACATGGCAAAAAAGGCGCGTTTTTGTTTGGTGCATCGCAGCCACAGATCTGCACAGATCTCCGCGTTGGCTGGCCTTGGTCCTTCCGTGGACTAACCTTCCACGTCGGACGGACCAAGAACCATCCCATTTGGTCGCAACACATTTGGGATGAGCGAGGCAGAGCCCGCAGTGTCTGCGCACTGAGCGCCGACCAGATTCCGATGCCATCGCCACGGGGGCTGGCGACGGGCGCGCCTTCAACTCTGCGACGAGACGTGCCATGTCGGGCAAGTGCCAGCCTGCGAACTGCCCGCTTTGCTTTGGATGCGGCGCAACCGACGCTAAACCGTCTATGAGAGGATCCTCACAGCAGAGCCTTTCAGCCGGCAACATCGCCGGGTCCATGGCAGACTCTGCAGGCAGCTCCTGAAAACTGCGAAGATCGAAGGCGACAAAGGTTGGCCTTCCAACGTGGCAGGCGCCAACCCACCACACATGAATTCGTGTAGTGAGAAAGGCTCGGTTGCAGCAAGTAATCAACAACTTGGGAAGACTTCCGATTAAGCCAGCCATGATCAGCCCACACAAGGTATTTTATCCGTAGCGCCGTTTTTTGCCCACGATCCGGCAGCAGTGCACTATGACAGACATCTATCCCCAACCACAGAGTAATTGTGTTTGTTTGTCTTCTTTTGGGGACCCCACCAAAATGGTTGGTTTCCTTCTGGTTTCCGTGTAAAACCAACCAAGAAAGGTGCCTGAACAAAAAGACACACCCTTTTTGATCAAACCGGCGTGAGCATGATTGTGCAACTGCGAGCATGCCAGCTGCCAGCGTGTGCATTTGAGCGCCAGGTCCCCTGTCCGTACTTGAAGGTCATTTCCGCTGGCGATTCTGGAGCCACGGACGAGTTTGAGGCGGACGAATCCAAGAAACGAAGCTTGGCTCGTTTTTGATCCTCATGCTCATGCTGTTTCGCATGCCTATATGCCGACAGGCTGGCTTTGCAGCCCCCCTGCGCAGTGTGAGGTCTGGAACCTTGCCTGGTAGTAGAGGCTTGTTGGGATCTGCCTGAAACGAAGCAGAGCCTCTGCCATCCTTGCTGTTTGTGCTGTCTTTGTTGTACCCTACGTGCACAGGATGTGGCGAGTGGGTGAAGTCCTTGCCGGTGAAAACTACATCGTCCAACTCTCAGGCGTGTTGGTTCATTTGCTGAGTTGGAGCTCCCGTGCTCCCTTTTAGACGGGGGAAGATGAAGCTCAAGAAGAATCCCCCACATTTTGGTCAAGGTCGACATTGAACCTTTTGCTGAGCTCAAGTGAGCACTCCGCTTTTGGGGGCCTTTTCCGGCAGATTCAGTGTCTTCTCAGTGGCAGCGGCTCTTGGAGGTGTCCATTGGCAATGCCAACTGAGGGCTTGAGACAATGTGTTGATGACCAACGCCTGCCTTATGACTGTGCTTACAATCTCGAGGCTGTCATGTGCTGGGGCATGCCCTTGTTGGCGCTTTCTGAACAAACAAGGTGCCGGTTTCTTTACGGGGATGGTGAGGGTTTGGACAAGGCTTCGAGATCTTGCTGGACCAAACACATCTCCATTCGTTGGGAGGGTTGCACAAATGGGTTCTGAAACACCGCTGTATTAGCTTGGCCAGTATCACTGTCAAGGAGTTTGCGGGGTCAAGCTGCAAATTACAGTCAGGACAAGCAAGCAACCGGGAGGGGGGGGACCTTGACGGGAAATCCGACGATGAAATCGCTCTGTCGAGAAGTCCACCAACGTCCGTTTCTATCTCAAACAGTAGTGTCAATATGGGCTGTCTCCCAGTGGAAACTTTCTTAGAATTCAATTTGCGTGTTACAGCCATTGCAAACAAGTGGTGTGCTGAAGCACGACTTGATTGGTGCCTTGGATACAACAAGGTAATGCGGATTCTCCGACCCTGAGCAAACTGTGAAACAGCTCAGGGAAAGCAGCGCCGTATGCGCTATCATGTCTCTTCTTGTGTTGGCACGATGCATGGCTACATGTGCTGGATCCATTGGTCGATCTTTTGGTGCAATCAACAAGAGAAGCAGCAACCTCCCACCCCGCCCCACAACCCAAGCAACCCCCCCCCAAGCAACCCCCCCCAAGCAACCCCCCCCCAAGAAACCCCCCCGCCCCCCCCTACGACCCATACACGACTCTTCCGCTTGCTCCATGGGTGTGGCGCCCTTTGACTCGTTGGCTGGACCCGGACAACCCCACCATCCAAAGCTGCCAAACCCGAGTTGGACATGTTTCACAACAAAACCACGGTCAAGCGGGCCTTGCAGCAAACCTTTTCAAGCCCCCTAAAGTGCTCCAACTCATCTCTGAAACCCCCCACCAACCCCCCCCCCCCCCCGCAAACCCTCCAAACCTCCCCAACTCTCCCCAACTCCCCAACTTTCCCCAACTCCCCAACTCCCCCAACTCCCCCAAACCCCCCCAAGCCTCAACCACCTGTACCCACCCTCCCTGCCTACCCCAAACCCTCAACCCTGGATGCAAGGATTCCTTCCGCGTCAGGTGCGCCTGGAGCTCTGGGCCGACTCCTCCGAGACTCTGCTCTTGGGCCAGGCACGAGCGGAGCGACGAGCGCGTCGTTGGAGTTGGCCGCCTTGTGGTTGGGATCTGCGCGTCCGTTTTCGCTTGGAGGCCTGAAAGGGCTTCCAGATCACAGATGGATGATATGTTTCATTTCTCCTTGTTGGGCCGTACATGGCAGCCTGGAAGGGAGTGTATGTTAGAGATATTCTTGAATTGTTGTTGCTTTGAATGGAACGCTGGATGCAGCATTAGGGTTTGTCTCATCTTTGAGATAAACACAAGCAGCAATCGTTCGCAGTTGACACATCAGCTCATGGAGGTTTCCCGGCAAGAAGCAATAGCAAGTGCTCTGTTCTGAGCCACAGAGCATGGGCTTGATTCGCAACTTTTTTGCTCCTTTATCATTCTTTACAGATCATTCAGCCTTTCAACGTCGTTTTTGTTTGCTTGTTCATACACCACACCACAGATTCCAAGAAATGGACCAGGGAAACCAACGACTTGGACATCGTTACCATTATCAAGGACTCCATTTCCGAGGAACAGCTCACAACGTTTGGGGAACACCCGCGTCAAACTCAAGAGCTACCTTCGAAAGCCTTGATTTGCATGACCTTCATATGCTCTCCTTGCCATAGCTGTGAAACAATGTTCAAGGCAAGTACATGACATCTATGTAGTTATCTATACAATGACACATACAAATAACAATGCCTGAGTAGACATATATGGTATCTACAAATGTGTTTGTAGAGTTAGTTGTCGAGTGATACATGTATACATATGAGGTATGCATGCATGAATTAATGTTTGCATAAATCAGCATCGGTTTATGCATCTATACAGGTAGCCATGGTATACATTTCCCTCCCTCTCTCTTGATTTGTGCATGCCTACACTGCTCTCGCGGCGCCCAGCAAAAGGTTTTCAACTTTCATTCGCAAGGGCCCTTAATCTCACCATTAGGTGTCCTCCATTCAAACTAACCGGCTTTTGGGCTCAGGCCATACTTTTTTGAACACACGCACACACACACAATTTTTCTTGCCCAGCGGCCAGGAGTCAAAAAGGACACACATGTTGTTTTTGCGGGTTGACTTCGAAGAATCGTCTCTAGAACCTGGCAGCCTCATTTTTGTTTTCTTTTTTCAGGTATGGTCAAATAATTACGGGTAGATTTTTTTTTCCTCAATATTTTCCTTTGTCAGGGTGTGGCATTTTTGGCCGACTTGACGATTGTTTCGGTCGAATGGGAGCAACCAAATCGAGGGACCCAACATTTCCAGGTTCCATGGGTAACAAGGGCTGCCTCGAAAAGAAAGGTCCAGGAAAGGTCCTTGAGAGATGAGGATATTCCCAGCTCCCTTCTAATGATTGAACGACTGTTTTAGTAGACCACCAACACAAACTCTCCCCCCCCAAACAACCCCCGCAAACCCACACCACACAAGCTTCTCCCCCCCAAACTTCTCCCCCCAAACTTCTCCCTGCAAACTTCTCCCCTGCAAACTTCTCCCCCCCAAATCCTTTAGGGTAGACCCCTGAAGCCTTCGCAACCCCAGACCCTGATCTTCGATGGCTTCCCGGACCGCCCCCCCTGCTGGCGCCACCTCTTCGGCGCTGCCGAGCTCGCCAGGCATGGCGGTTTGCGGGTGGCCGCTGGGCCAACCAGTTTTGTTTTTCCCACCCCTCCCACGTTGCCATGGCAGGTTTGTCCAAGAGGAAATAATGAATAATGATCTTCCAGGTACCAGTGGTACCAGTGCCGCTTACCTCCCGGCCATTTCATGGCACTTACTTTTCTGGTCAGGGCTTGACATCATACACCAAAAACGGTATTTGGAGCTCGGGGTGGGTAATTTGTTTTCGGGTACCCGTTTTGGTTGGTTTGAAAGGGAGAAACCTCACCTCTTCTCGTGCCCGAAAATTGAGGGACTCCCCAATTTCCCATGTCCTTTAGGGGGAAGCCTTGGTAATTTGTTGACCATGTTCTCAGCAAATTTGGGAATGCCAGTCACTGACGTCTTGTTGTTAGGTTCCATGGCTCATATGGGTGTCAATGTTAATAGGGGATCCTTTGGCGGACTCCAATTGGTTGAGGCCTCATGTCCAGCACGCTCTTTGAGCCAACTGTCAAAGCTCATAGCTATTTGGGGATGTGTCTAAATAATTGGGACAGCTTGCAATTTCATTGGCGGTTGACTGGTTGACCTTTCAGTTTCCAGCCTTAAAAGGGCAGCCTCAAACAAACTCCGATCATGGGGGAGGGAGCCCAAGTTACGCCCTGAAAGGGTGTGAATGAGGTCTGACTGAGGGCTTATTGTGCTCCCGACTCTTGTATTTTGAGCCCCACCCAAATGGAAAAACCTTTGGACCCCCCCAGCGAGTGGCTCGTTTTTTTTCTTCTTTCGCCAGGGAGCCGGAGGCGGCCGAGAAGATGGCGCGGGGCCGCCTGGAGCCCAGCACCCACCGGGCCTCTCTGCGCCACGGCGACCGGCCGGCGAGGGCGACGGGGGCGGAGCTGGGCCGAGGAGTTTTTCGGGGCGCCCTGAGCCCCCAGAGTTCGCGCGGGGACCCTTTTCGGAGTATTTTTTCTTCTCCGCTTTTTTTTTGGCTTTGCCCTCTTTTCGGATTTTGCAGGAACCCCTAAAAAGTAGAAGTAGGGCCTAAGTAGGGTTTTGTGCTGGGGTCGTAGTTCCAGCCAAGCTTAAAGGGGCGACCGGTACGTCAGGGAAGTGGGTAAGAACCATGGTAGTACCCCGCAAAAGCCATGGCTTTCAGTCTCCGTTCAGTGGGTAGCAAGGCTACTAACCACTTACTAAGTAGACTTCCCCCTTTGAGTAGGAGGAAGCCCTGGGATTTCAACCATGAAAATTCAGTGGCTGGATCAATATAACCATGGTTTACAGCAAAACCCATTAAACATTGGTGGCTTCGCTTTATTATCACCATTGATCGTTCAGGATTGTCATTTTTTGATGGGGTCATTTTTTTGCGGAACAGCAAAGGGAAACCTGCAACGGTTCTATGTCGAGTTCCTAAGCATGCTGAACTCGTTTGATGTCACCCCGGTAGCGACAGAGTTGTGGACTGGCGCGGAGTAATCCCACACAAGAGGTGCTGGAGCTTTTTTGTTTTTTGGGAAGCGACCAGTGACCAGTGATCCGGGGAACATTTTCCGGGGGAGAAGGTAAGGTGCCGTCTTGAGAGGACCACTTTAGTAGCAAGCAAGAAGTTTAGACTCTCTTGGCCGATCTCACTCAGGAAGTGAGAACAGCATGCACCATTGCTCGTGAACTCCCCCTTTTGACCTGCTTTGCCACAGGCTAGGCCTCTGCATGTTGCCGAGCTTGATAGCAGAGGGCACGGCCGCTTTGCCTTGGCTATTTGGTCTCTACACAGGGTCCGAGCATTTCTCAATGACGCAACATTGGTGGATGTGTCAAAACTAGGGACCCCTCCCTTCACTGCGACAAACTAGGGGGCCGTCCTTTTGGTGTTTCTCAGTTTTTTTGGTCCATGTCCTGGTGTCGTGGAACGGAAATCGTCATGACTGGCAAAGAACATGTGTTTTCCTTTTCATGTCCCAGAAACAGGAGTAAACCAACGGGGAAGGAAGAACCCAAATGACGCTGGCTCGTTTTGGGTGTCCCCGACTTCTGAAACACATCCTGAAAGGCGGCAATGCGTCCGTCTCTGAGGCATGTGACGTTCAGCCGGTTCTCTGGAAAACTGCCGGAGAAGCTGTCGGAGATGCGGAACACCCAGACCCCAGTGCAGCTCACGGTGCGCTTCTACCGGGCCCTGTATTTGGATAGGCTTGCGGGACGGATCCGCTCATTGGCCAATTGGTTGGGGAGGCTTCCGGGGGTGGTTTGAAGGGAACCTTGGAACCCGCGGAGAAGACGTCCCTTTGTTTCAAGGCCTTCAGGCGATCTTTGTTTTTCAATTTCGAGGCTTGAGGCTCTTGGGATTCGGGGTTTGGCAGCGATGCCCACTGAGCCAGTCAAAGCTCCTTTTTCTTGTTTTTCTTTTTTTTCTGACCCGAAGAAACCACGAGCCACGTTAAACTCTCTGTGGATGTTGCCCTTATTTCCTGCGTGACTCCTTGCGGAATCAACAGTTTTTTGTTGGTTGGGGTGGCCAAAGTCGCGGCACGTGATGCGATGGGAAAACGGGGGAGACCAGACCGAGCACAAATCGGACGTGGGGAAGCCAACGGATGCGCATCCTAAGGGCGATAGAAACTGCCCTGCAGGTACGCAGGTTCACGCGTGCAGGTGCGTGTCCAGCTTGCGGGATGCATGGCGGGGGAGAGCAAAGACGTCTTGGCCTTCGACGCAAAAGTGGACGAAAGGGGCGTGGCGCGCTTCTCTGAGTCAGGCGCCCACGGGACACTCGGCGTTGGGTGAACCTGTTGCCAGTTTGGGTTCACTGGTTTGAGTGGCAACAGATATGGTGTACGACTAGGGGCTGTGTTTTCCTGAGTTTAAAGGGTAGACAAAGGGAAGCTAACGAGTTGTGGGGACCCCCCTTTTTGGACAGCCCAAATCAGGGCCCTTCGCGTCCGAGGAAGACCAATGCTTGGGTGGAGAAGAGCAGCAGCCTGCTGTCAATTCCGCAGGACCGTTCCATGGAGAAAGCCTTCTGGCATCCCCTCAGTAGAACCCGGCCAAGTAAAAGGAGGGTGGGGGGAAAGGCCCCTCGAAAAGCCCACTAAACCCTCCGATGAAGACACTGGCTGATAAATCCGGGGTTAACATTACTCTGCTGCAAGATTTCAGAGGGAACCGCAAGAGGTGGTCCTAGGCTTGTGGATTTTGGGTTCATGGTGTCAGGTTGGGTCCCGCTGTGAATGCACACATGAGAAGCACCCAGACATATGACAGGCAAGCGCCATTTTGGGGACCTGGCACTTGCGCTGCCGAAACCATGCGCCAAGAAAACCATACGCCCAGAAGAACGGTGCCGAAGCTTGGGTGCCTGGAGTTGGGAAGTGAGAAGTCGCAGAGAGACCTAAGGCCCACCCAAGGAGTTGTCAAATGTGACCATTGATTTTTCTAGCGCCCCTCCCTCGTTATATTTTTTCTTCTTTCCCCCTCAGGGAAGTTATGCCATGGCTCTTTGAGGTTTGCTCAGAAGTCTGAGGACGGTCCATTTGGGAGGGACAGGTTTTGACCTCAATTTTCCGTGAACCCTCCGGCCAGAAACTCCATTTCCCATTTGATGCGTGTCACAAAGTTTGGGACAGGACGTGAGCAGTGCCTACTTCTACATCGTGCGGCAGGGCGAGGAGGGCTATGCGCCGGAGGTCTACGGCAAAATTCCTTTGTCCTTTTCCAAGGCGAAGGTGGACTGGACGCTCAACCAAAACCATCTGGGTGTGGCTCAAGATTAAACAGGAGGGGTTACGCAGGTTTTGGTCCATGTTTCCACTTGCCAGGGTTCCATTTTGGTACCGGTTTTTTGAACCACAGCCATTTGGGGAATCAAAACCGGGTCAGGTCAGTGAGGGTTAGGGGCCTGCCCAAACCGTAAATGGGTGCGGACCGGCCTTTTGATTCTTGACATAGTGGGCAGACCGCGATCGGCAACAGGGATTGCGGGAATGAAGGGTCCCACTTCTGTGATAGAGCCTCCCCGATAGAGAATTTGTCGTTTGGAATGCCTTCCATTGAACATTGCCAACACTCAAGCTTGTGTTCTCTGTTTTGGTCAAGTGTTTTGCCTCACTTTGCAGTTCAAGCAAATATACATGTGATATATATATATATATATATGTACACACATTATGGTGCACACCTTCCCTTTTTGCAAAGGTAGACATCTTTAAGCCACGTTTTTTTCCCTGGGTGAAAGCCTAATTTTCGAGCAATATTTTTCCTGCCACGCAACCCTTTGACAGGCAGAACTGGGGCTTACCTCTTGATTTTACGTAGTTTTCCTCACGACCCTTGCCGAAGGGCCCCAATTGGTTTGGACACATCCAGGGAATTTTTCTGGACACCGCATGTGCGATTCTTTGAGCGTTGGCACACGTGTGGTACCCGAAGGACAGTAGTTCATAGGCCTTTCTGGGTCTTTGCTGGCATAGCCTAATGCCATGCAAAACAAGAACTATTTTTGATGCAAGCTTACGCTTTCCACTAAAGATGCCGTTTAGATGTAACAGATACAAACCTACATATACATAATACATACATATATATGGTACAGTGTTGCCAGTCCCCCCCCCCCCCAATGGTCATGGGTCAGACAAGTACCCCCCCCCCCCCCCTGTGGTTGTGGTCCTGTGGTTGGGTTGTGGTGGTTTAGGGTTGGTTTAGAATTGGTTTAGGGTATATTTAGGGTGTATTTAGGGTTGGTTTAGGGTTAGTTTAGGGTTGGTTTATGGTTGGTTGCGGGTTGGCTTGTCCTGGGGGTGGGGGTGCCGGGGTGTCGGGGTGCGAGTTCAGGGGGTCGGGGTGGGGGTGGGACCGTAGGTGCCAGGATCCGGGGGCTCGGGGTCTCGGGCTGGTGGGGGGGTCCTGGGGGACCATACCATTTGGGGGGGGGGCGGGAGCAACACGGAACACGGGGCCATATATACAGCCATGCACATATATCAATATGCATACTTTAGAGCCTCCGGCTCAGTCCGCCGACATTGTCCTCTCCCTTTTCTCCTTCTTCCTCTCTTCCTTGTCTCCCTTGTGTGTTCTGTCGTCCTCTCTCCCTCCCTCTGCTCCCATCCTCCCCATCCCCCCAAGCCTCTCTCTCCCCACTCTCCCTCTCTCTGGTATGTATGCATGCATGTACATATGTATGTATGTATGTATGTATGTATGTATGCATGCATGTATGTATGTATGTAATGTATGCATGCATGTACATATGTATGTATGTATGTATGTA